GCTAAAAAAAAATACCTGTAATAAATAGATAATATACTCCTTTAGTAAATGAACCCCACAGTGTATGGAATGTGGTGCACACTGTAATCAATTGTGTCAATTAAAGATGTTAACCAATATAGTTAAAAAAAACTTCTAAGACCAATTTTTGATTGTCCTCTTTTATCTTGGTAAACTGAAAATTGCAACAGTCATTGTGGTACCCAACACTGGCTGATGATGTAGTTGCTACCAAAGTCTGCTGTGTGGCTGACATTAGCTGTTTATGTATAACATGATTCATAATAAGTAATGTATGCTTATTCAGTAATCATACAAAAACTGCAGCATCCTGTAACAGTTTATCTTTCACTGAACTGGCTTCAGCAATCTAAAATCTGTTTTGTAATTTACAGACTTTGTGCCTTGTTGCTTGTTTTTGCACTTTTGCTTTATTAAAGAATTTTAATTGCATCATTTGTGAATGGCTTAGGCTGCTGCAAAATCTACTTTAAATGTAATAAGCAATCACCAATTACTACATAGTGATACTAATTAGAGAGGCTTATCAACAAATGTTGCTGGAAAAAACTTCCAAGTCAGATGGAGGTTTTTCTTACCCCTTTGTCTTGCTTTATCAAATTCTCACTAAAAATTCATAATGATTTTCTATAGGATTGCTGATTTTATAGCGATTTGTCACTCAATGATTAAGATTCAGCAGCATTTTGTGTCAGTAGCAGCAACAATCGTCACTCAATGATTAAGATTCAGCAGCATTTTGTGTCAGTAGCAGCAACAATCAGTCTTAAAGTGATACTAAGCTCAGGAGTTAAATCTTACAAATGCATTCAAGTATCTTAAGTATTAACAAAAATGTATCTCATTTCTGTATTACTCGGCCACAGATCCTCAAATCATCTCTGAGTTGGTGCTGACAATGTCCTTCCTGCTGGAGGGTGGCTACTTTTGTTCCCCATGGTCCCTGTGTGTGTTGTAAAGTAGCCAATGCTCTAAGCTCACTCCTGAGATGGACTACAATCTTAATACAAATTAGTAAAATAAACAAGAGATTGTAGTCCATCACGGGAGCGAGCTTGGAGTAGCGGCTACTTTACAACACACACAGGGTACATGGGGAACAAAAGTAGCCAAATGGCGGAGGGAGAGCGTTTGAAGAACAGCACAACCCAATACTGTAGCAAATCATGAGTGACAGAATAGAGTTTAAATTACAAGCTGCAATTGCTGGCATTAGCGATTTTCTAGAAGCAATTGATCTCAGCTACTAAATCACCCATGTGACATACTGTAACCTTTCAATATACAAAATATATATCTACTGTAGATGTTTCATTTACTTCTCTATTGGCACAGTTATACTCCCTATTGTGGCAAACTTAGTATAAGTCTTAGAAATGACTAACTTTTCCAGTATGAGTTCCTACATTTTTCCCATAATGTATGTACATTGCATCATGGAAGTCTTTACCAATTGCCATTATTTTTTTTTTATAAATTCTTTATTTATCATTTTCATGAAATTTGTAACAAAACAAAATGAACATAACAGTGGTACAGAATGTACTGAGAAGTCGGTCAAGGAAATCCACCATCCCTACTATGCATCATAAGGTTTACATCCTGGACTGCAGCCATAGGCCTGTTCGGTCATAACCCTGTACAATTTATCTGGAGTAAACCTGCTCTTTCCATGCTGTGGTTTAACCACAATCACCGTAATGAAAAAGTGAGGCGGATAGAGGTGAGAGAAAGTGGGGGCGGGAAGAGAGAAGACTAAGAAGAAAGTGAGACAGGTGAGTAGAAAAGGAGGGGAAACAGACGTCGTCCCATGATTCTCCATCGGGTCCCAATCGCAGCCCCATGTTTTCCTGTCAGTCACCTGCGTATCTCCCGACAACGGGACTAACGCAAGTGTAGGAGACTCATCTTGTCCACATCTCCATCCCCGATAGGCCATCCGTTTCCCATGACCTACTTTACATCTCCCCTAGCAGGGTAGAATATTCCTGGGTGGTCATGAAATACCAATTGCCATTATATGTTATAAAAGGGGCAGCCGCCACATGAAGAGGCAAAGTTTTAATGGAAGGGAGATATTGGTACATTTAGGAAATGTCAAACACGTGTTATGGACACTGCATGCGTATATGCCGTACATGATAACCCTTGACTCTTGGCTATGACAGTGAAAGAGGATGGGGAAGCAGATATATATGAAATATTGTAGGACACTTCATTCATACTTGTGTGCTGGCAAGGACTAAAAGTAAAGATTGTACAAGCCGACACTTTTATATATCTGCCTAAGAGTGGTTTTGGATTGAGGCCAATTACCATGTGCAGTGCGAAGTTACAAATGCAAGTAATATTTCCGAACAATGTTAGTTGTTAGCTGCAACTTTAAATGCAGGCAGTACAAACTCCAAGTAAACCAACAAGTGTTCTTGCATTATAAATAAGTATATTTAAGTATTATTAACTTTTGATTAAACTGAGATCTACATGACAGTTGTAGATCAAAAGGTTAAGCAGCAATAATAATATGATGACAAATAGTCATGCTAAGAAAATCCCTCGGTGGCCCAGACTTTAAAAACCACAGTAAGTAGGCTGGTAAGTGATAGTTTATCTTTCCAGGCGGCTCTTGTTGTAACATCGATTTCCATATGTTTGAAAATTAGCCTAGTAGCTATAAAAAGAAAGCATAATTTCATGGACACGCTTCGAACCGATTGAAGTGTTTGATCTGCGGAGAGTTAAAGCAGGTTTAACCTGATACCAATCAGGCTACATAATGCTGCATTAAAGTACTTCTAAGTGGATAAATATTTAATGGAACTACGGTATATAAAGAGACATACAGTATATTCTGAATTACAGTGCTGTGGTTTAAGATCGCCAAAACCAAGAGAAGGTTCTTTATGCATTTTAAGAAAAGTTCTTAAGGAATGAATTTACAGCAAAACTGAGCAGATGAACCAGTTCAGAGTACGGTCTTATAATTGCTTTGCATAGAATTGATTTTCCATAGCAAAGTTATATAGCTTGGTTTATAATTTAAGCATAGCATTCCTTTTCTATGAGTTACTGCGTGTCTACCATTACTTTACATTTATATGCAATCTTGAGTGCTTTGAAATGATCCCATACATAAAAGTTGCATACCATATCTCCATTATACTACCTGTGACTACACTTTGAATAACAACAGATATTTGTGTTTCACAGTACATGTCTCACTTTGTAGCAGGATATATAAATTAATAATTTTCCTCTGCATGTTGGTCATGGGTTTTGGTTAGCACTAAGCACAGAATAGTCTTTCTGTAATATAGTAAACCTTGACATCCTTAAACACTGATAATATCTACATCAATTCTTTCTACTCTATAAAACTGATTTGGCTTCACATTCAGTGTACCAGTTTAAACATAGTCTCTCTTAAAAATCAATATAAAATGAATACATGGTATCATCTGAATGTGACAGGTAAAGTATTGTGAAGATATACATTGCGAAGATATAGCTACACATTTAAAAAATATGTAACTAACCTTGGGAACTATACATTAATAAGCTTGTAAAAGTTATCCCAAGGGTTTGAACATGCATCCAATGCCAATGCTGCTTCTGGTCAATGTCCTGATGGTCACCATTGTGGGTGGGCTTTTTGGGATATGCAGTTAGGAACTTAATGGGAATTATAGCATCAGTGCCATTAGATACGGCAGACTACATTCAAAGGTTTTGTTGAGCACATGTCTGTACAAGGCTTGTACACCAAGTGGCAGGGGGATCCCTGAGCATGCCAGCAAAGCATGCCAAGCACTCCCTCCTTGTGCATATGATGAGGACGGTGATCTTTCAGAACACAAATATATAAATATAGATATATCTATATCTATATTTATATAGATATTTCTATATCT